GCGCTGAAAAAGAAAATTTTAAATTATATTAAAGTTTCTTATTATATAAAAACATAAATAATGCATTTAATCTACTATCTTCCGTCTATAGAGAAAACACATTATTTTGAATTTCATATCACTTTTTTGTTATTATATCATTATTAGCACTTTCTTTATTTAATATATACAACCTATATAAATTTTTTATATTAATTTATCGAATGTTGTTTTATAATTGTTTTATTTGCGCGTGTACGTTATTTATTCCACATATATTTCGGTTTCTAAGAATCGTTTCTCTTTGTATAAAACATTATATAATTTAATGGTATTTACTTTGAATTTTTCAAATAATTATGGAAAATAACATATATTGTTTAAGATATAACTCGAATGATATAATAAATTAAAACTGTTATAGATCTAAAAAAATACAAAAAACATTTCTTACAAAGATCATGTTACATTTCATAATATATTTAATTAATATATATAAAGTAATCATAATTTTTTAATATATCATAATACTTCATAAAATAATATATATTAAATATGTAATAAATAGACGCACATAAATAAGAGAACATATTATTTTATATAAAAGTTTTTTCCAAAATATTTATAAAATATACATTCTACATGAGAACTTATAAGAAGTGTGTTATTTTAAATATATGATTAGGAATAATTATTAATATAATATGAAAATTATGCAGAACATTATGCTCTATTAATATTTTAATAATATTCACTTATTAGAATATTATAATATTCCTGAATCAAAGAATATCTGATTTATAATATAATATTAGTATGTATAAACTTATTAGAATGAGAATATATAAGGCCTCGAACTAAATAAAAAACAATAAATATGTAATAATTTATACAAAAAAAGTATTTTTCGTAGTATATCCTTTTTATTACATGCTTAATAGAGTTAAATTTATATCATTATAGTGGGTAATTTATATTAAACTGCAAGGAAACTATATATTTTTCTTTTTACTATTTTATTATTAAAAAAATACAATTATTGGTTTCGTTTAACTAAATGATAAATCAAATATATATCAATAAATATGAATATCATTAGTGTTTATTATATTATTAAATAATTTAATGTATCATATATAATCCTTTATGGAGGATCATAAATAGAAACAATTTTTTACACTTATTCTTATTTATATATAAGAAATGAATTTTTCTATGTTTTTAGTTTAATAATTACATTTAAGTAATGCAACAGAAAGATAAATCATTTACATATTATTATTAATTGTTCTAATAATACAAGATAATAAACTATACAAGTATATACTGTAGATAATAGTTATAACATATACACATTGTACAATACATGTATAATTTTCAATATAAGGAATAAGAAAAAAAATGTATTTTATATAGATTGTCTTTTGGAAAATAACTTTTGAGATGTACTGAAAACATTAATTTAATTGAAAAACGTCAGATCTAGAAAAAAAATATTATGTATGAGATAATATATCCCTACAAACTACACTATTGTCACTTGATTTTAATCATGAACAAAATGGAAATTCATATAATCTTTGTATTATCTATGATACTAGGTTTCTGGAGAATATCTAATTTATGGTAGTTTTATTAAATAAGGAACTAGTTTATATATCAAATATCCATAACATATATAATTACTACACTATATATTCACTCAATGCTAATAAAATTAATTGTGTATATTTTATTTTAATAACAGTTTTTAAAAAGAATAGACTACACCTTTGGTATGTGGTTTAATTCAAGAATAGTCACCAAAAACTTATTATATATATTCCATGGAAACTGATATATTGATGATTTATTAATAAATAATTTTTATTATAAACGATTATATATTTATTAATCTTAATATAATATATAACACAAATATTTACAATGCTATTAATTTATATATTAAAATATATCACATATTAAATAAAAAAAATGATATAATTAGAAGAGTAATGAACAATTTATATTATCATCATTATACTGGTAATGCCTCCAACAGCATGTATAATATAGTCCTGAAATTCAAGAATATTTCAAAAAAAAAAATAATTTATCCGAAAATTATGAAACATATCATAACACAAAATACATTTAAATATCAATTAAATTGAAATTTGTTAATAAACACTAGAAGGATAATGTATATATATATATGATATAAAAAAACCTTCATAAAATAACCATTCATGTGGATATTAAGTTCATAATTCAATAATCCATAATAAATAATTTGATCAATATATTGAGTGTTCTTCATTATTTTCTATGTATACTTTAGTACATAAATTATATGTATAGCATATTAGTGCTTTATATTACTAGGATCAAATCATTCGCATTATGATATAGATTAGTAAAAATATTATACTAAATGTAACATTTCTAATTAGGTATTATCCTGAATTTGTTATTACTATTCATAAATATAAACAGGAACATTAAAATCAAAGGGGAAAGTATTAATAGGATAAAATATATAGTAGTATTTATATGATGAATACAGTATAAATATATGCATAGAAAATAAATTCAACTAGATATTCATCCATGATAGAACCTCAATACTGGAAGCACTAATTTCATGATAAATGTAATAATTATTTTCATAAGTTAGAAAAATTTT